CGGCCTCCCCTCTGCTCAGAGATCAGCTCTTCTCTGCCCTTAACCTTGCAGCATGTGTTCTGGGTGTGACGCAGTGACCGCTGAGTTAAGCTTCAGGCCTACCTCCCGCCATGTGACCTTCTTCCTCAGGAAACCCGTCCGGTAAGGCCTTCCACTGATTGGATGAGGCCCACACAATACGCAAGGTCATCTCTCTACTCAAAGCCTACTGACTTAAATGTTAATTACATGCAAACAATATTTTCAGGAGCAGCATCCAGGCTGGTGTTGGTCCAAACGACCAGGCACTGTTACCTAGTCAAGTTGACACGTAAAGTAACCTTCAAGCCTGTTTCTTTCTCTATCTAATCATCTCATTCCTGGTAGAACACCGACTGCCAAGAGATAAGAGGCAAGGAAGCGGGACCTATTCTTCCCGTTTACCAGGTGAGAAGACTGAGCCCGTCCCAGGACCAAGCACATCACTCCTTCCACCTCCGTGTTAATCCTCTCAGCCCCACATCCTTTCACTCTGCTTGCCTTGCAAAACTTCACACGGCATCTCAAGCTCTCAGGTCACCACGATGGGACACGTGTTCCCCCCTATGCTTACCTGTGGTCCTCTTTCCGGGGAAGGGCTTTCTCTCCAGGTAACTTCCCAACCACCTCTTCAGGCTGGGGTTGGGACCCTCCTGTGCTTATGCAGGGCACTGTAAACACACCTGGCTTTGAGGGCACAAACCGCGGTTCCCGTGTATTATCCCCAGCTCTTGTCACAGTGTGGGGCACACCAGAGAGCTCGTGAGACACCAGGCTGTTGAAGGAACAGATGACAGTCCCTGGTTGTCTCAGGGAAGGAGCCTACGCCCCCTCCCCCGTCTCCTAACTTCTTGTTCAACATCTTGCCCTCAAGTATAGGACATACTGTCCAGCCCAGCCGTACTCCGTGCAATTCATTCCATGCTTCCTGCATCTTCCTTTATGGCCGGCACTGTGCTGGGTAGCGGACAAGCATTTTGTCACTTTGTTCCCGTAGCAACCCTGTAGGATGGGTATGATTGTTCCCATTTGCTAGATGGGGTATTGAGGCTCAAAGAGTGTTACCTCTCATAAAATCACATAGCTATGGAAAATGAGAGCACTGACATTCAAACCCAGATCTGCCACTGACTCCAGGGATGGAACAATCATCAATGCCAAAAGGCCAAGCCACATCCTCAGCTAGGAGCTGAGGGACAAAAAGATGAAGCCAATAGGATCCTTACTTCAAGGAAGTCAAGGTCTAGTGCAAGAAGACAGAGGCACAAGAAGTCAGTGTGAAAAGCATCATGGCGACATAAATATCAGCGCTCCAGGAACACGTATTTTGGGAAATTACAGAAGAGAGCGGTCTGAGCTGGGATTGGGGAGGGCAGGAAGCGGAGAATAGGGAAGAACATTCTGGGCATGGGGTATGCTTGGCGGGGAGGAAAATCAAGCTAAAATCTAGGCCAGGAAAAGCTATTTCCCTTCCCTAGCAGTTTCTAGTAAAAGCCTGAAACAGAGCCTGTAATCCACGTGGGGTTTTTAGAGCGGGCCCCTAACACCATTTCACCTGCCTCCGTTCAGTTCTGTAACCCAAGCTGTGAGCCCTCACCAGGCAGAAGTGGTCCCTCCCTCGAGCTTTTTCTAAAGAAACCGAAGGGGTGTGTGTTTGTGGCTGGTTCTACGTGCTAGGACCTCATCCGATAAGTTGAAGGCCTTAAGAAAAATGACCGATTTGTCGAGGAAGAAGGAATTCTGCCTCAAGTCAGCAACACAGAAAGCCTGCCTGAGTATCCAGCCTGCCACCCTGCAGAATTCAGCCTCAAGACTGCAACATCAACTTACCTGAATCTCCAGCCTCCTCCTGCTGGCCCCTCTGATCATGTGAGATAATTAATATAATATCGAGTATATTACGTATATTACAGCTCTGCAGTATTACATATTTATCATAAACTAAAATAAGACTTGTGAATGTTTTGTGAGCACTTACTGTGTGCCAGGCACCTGCTAAGTTCTTTGCGTGTGTCTCATGAGGCTCTTACTCATCTAAAGGCTCCATGACATCATTTGTGATTGGTCCCATTTCACAGATGAGGATATTGAGATGCAGAGGGTGGAAGTAATTTGCCCAAGGTCCTAAGGTGACAAAGCCAGGTTTGGATCCAAGAGGTTCCCCTCCAGTGCCTACAGGTGGTGAATTCTTACCTGCTACGGAACATGCGTGTAAAGCAAGAGACATGATATAACTGACAAAAGATGTTGTTTTACTTGTTATAGTTACCACTGGATGGGCAAGGGGGAAGGGGGAAGGGGGAAGGGCAAGGTGTGAGTTCTGACCCAGGTTCCTAGAAGCGCAAGGTCCTGAAGGTGCAGCCCTGGGAACAGCCGCTAGGCGGCACCAGGCTGCACAGGCTGCTTCCGGATGTGCGGTCCAGGCTGGGGGCTGGGCGTCTGGTAGTCATTCTAGGCCACTCCAGGGCTAGCCCCCACAGGGCTGGTGGGCTCTGGAATCCCCTTCCTCAGGCCTCAGGGGGGTTACGCTCCAGTCCAGGGACCACAGACCCGGGGTCCGGTGCCCGGCCTTCATGGTGTCCATCTGTTTTGAGGTGCAGTTCGGTAGTCACAGCCTGGGGACTGGGTCTAGCCCAGTCAAGTGGGCAGAAAGAAGGTCAGCACCCAGCTCCTTCCTATGCTGCTGGGGTGGTGGGGGCAGGGAAGGCCTCAAGATGTCAGGTCAGCACACAAAAGCTCCGGGTAACCCTCCTCCAGAAGTTGCGACTGCGGCTGCTCAGGGCCACCTCGGCTGCTTCCTGGAAGACCGCGTGGACGTTTTCCTGGAGCAAGGCCGAGCACTCAAGGTAGGCCACTGCGCCCACGGACCTCGCCATCTCCTGGCCCTAACAGAGAGAGTGCACAGGGCTGCCATGAGGTACAGGACTTGGGGGCCTCACGTCCCGCCTCCCCGCAGCCCTCGTGGTCATCCTAGGGAGTCTCCAGGACAAAAGTGGAAGGAGAGTTTTTCTAGGACCCCTACAGCTCCTGCCCCCGATCTCGACCAAGCACTCTCGTGGCTTCGTTGGGTTTCCTGCCTCAGCTCCAGGATGGGTCCCTGCCTCTCAAGGCACCAACTAATTGACTTCCCAGGTATGTAGCAGAGAGGGGCCTGCAGAAGAGCTAAGTGTTCTTCTCCAGACCTCAGGTTCCCTATCCGTGAAGTGGATGGGTAGGATTATCTGAATGTGCACACCACTGGCTCTCTCTTCCATAGGCAGAACCTTCCAGAGTGTTCTAGGTACCACTTCCAAACCCAGGCAATTCTGAGATGACCCCTGCCCTGACCCACTCTTAAGTGTGCTGGATGTCTGGCCCTGCTGACAGGCTGGGCTACATCAGCGTACCCAGAAGTTCCCCCCGCCCCCAGAACCGGGCCCCTGGGCAGAGTTTCCTACCCTGTGGTAGGTAACAGGCTCCAGTCTATTTTTCCGCAACTTCTTCACCAGCGACTTGTCCTTGCGCAGGTCCGTTTTGCAGCCCACGACAATGAGGGGCACCTCCTTGCAGAAGTGGTTCACCTCTGGGTACCACTGCGGGGAGGGGGGCAGTGCAGGTGTGTATTAGTCATAGGGACTGTTCTTTTCTGCAGATGGGGAGGATGGGTCACTCTCCTGCTCCCCAGGCAGACTCCAGTGGTGATAATCAGTACAGCCAACATTTAGGGAGAACTACTCTGAGCTAGGCTCTAAGACTTCACATGTATGATATCATCAATCCCCCAAGTCCCTGTGAAGCAAGTTCTATCATCAGTCCCATTGTACAGATGCACTAACTGAGGCTTGGAGAGGCTGTATAACTTGGCCTTGGCCACACGACTAGAAGTGGCAGGATTTGAGTCCAGGGGCTGGGGCCCAGAGCCCTGCTCCCACCTGGTCTAGAATCCTGCCGCTCTGCAAGGTAAGGGCTCCCAAGTCCACCTCCCAGCTGGGTAAGATATATAAGGAAATAAGTCATCCTTTAAAAATAAAGCAGCTCACAAAATGGATGCAGCAGCTGTTTGCCTGTCGGAGGGAACACTTCTGTTCTGTGTCAGCTGCTCTTTGGAATGTGAGGCTCCGGGGCCTGGTTATTCCAGCCTGGACAACCACTGGGAAGTCTAGAATCTGGAGACGGGGGCTTTATATGTCTAGGAGTGCATGCCTGCTCAGTTTGTGTTCTGGAAAAATACTGGCATCAAACCGTCTGGCTCCTGGAGACAGATGGGGCCCAGGTGGGGTCCTGGGCTGACTCCCCAGACCCCAACCCCCTCCACACAACCGCACTTGAAAACAGTCTCCAAAAATGGTCTCCACCATGACTTCACCTTGCTAAATCCAACAGTGAATCCTCAGCCTTCAACCTACCTGAGCCCTGGCACCAGCCAGGGATCTCTCCCTCCTCTACGACCTGGGTGGCGCTTTGCCCTAGGACCCTGCTCTCTTGGTTCTTCTCCTTGGGTCTTCAAGGGTCCTCCCTACCCCCACCCCATCTTGTCCAAAGCTGTTCCCCACTAGCAGTCCCCAAATGGATCTGCCCAGCCCGGCCTGGCCCTCTCCTGGGAACGGCAGACTAAGACCTCCGCCTGTCTACCTGGCCCTCCACTGGGATGTCCAACAGGCCCCCATCTCCCACCTCCTCACCCACCCCTTGTTCCTTCTCATCTGAGCGGGGGGAAATGGCAAGGCTACCTTCCACTTGCTCTGGTCAAGGCGTCTCTCCCACCTACATCCAATCTGTAAATCCTGATGGCTTTCCAAACAGGGTCTATACCCACCCACCTCTCACCATGCCCCCTGCTAGCACCCTGGTCACAGCCACCACCACCCACCATCTCTCCTAGGGCCCCAGCACCTAGAACAGTGCCTGGTGCACAGATGTGTTGCCATTTTATTTTTATTAAATTAAAAGAAATTTTTTAAAATATTTATTCATTTTTTGAGAGAGAGAGAGAGAGAGAGAGAGAAAGAGAGAGAGCGCGCGCAAGTGAGCATGAGTGGGGGAGGGGCAGAGAGACAGGGAGACACAGAATCCAAAGCAGGCTCCAGGCTCCGAGCTGTCAGCACAGAGTCCGATGCGGGGCTTGAACCCACAAAGCGCAAGATCATGACCTGAGCCAGTCAGATGCTTAACCAACAGCGCCACCCGGGAGGCCCCATCAAGGCTGCCACTTGAATAGATGTGTATCTTGGAGCAAAGGATCCATTCTGGAGATAATACTACTATGGGCTCCATCAGGTTGTTAGATGGAGTGAACAAGTGAACGTGTGGAAGTGCCCGCCCACAACGGTGCATGGCATAAGGAAAGTTCTCAATAAATATTATCATCGTCACTGTGGTTAATGTTACTGATGCTGTCACCAGCTGTGCTCCGGAACCCTGAAGCACACAGTTCACGTGGAGGCCTGGCAGCAGTGGGGTAGGAGCAGAAAAACTCAAGGGACCACATCCCTGACACCTGGGGGCAGGGAGAAGCCTTGGGAACCCCCGACATACCTGGGGGGTGGGTAGTTTGGGAGGCTGCTAAAAGCTAGCGGTCACACAGAAGGGGGCTGAGCTGCTAGAAGCTGACCATTCATGCATCTTTGGGCAGGCCCAGGCTGGGGATATGCAGGGGCCCCTGAGTCATCCAGTATTCTCAGGCAGGGTCACCAAGGAAAGAGCCACAGCATTCTGAGTCCAGTACAGAGCAGGCAAGGAGCACTGGACTGGGAATATGAGGCCAGACCCTGCCACCAAATCCCTACGGCACCTCTGGCAAGTTGCTACCCTTGCTCTGGGCCTCGGTTTCCCCATATATATGCTAAAGGTGCTGGACTGGATGCCATCCAGGGCCTGCCACACTCTGGCAGTCTGCTGAGTCAAGGGTGGGGGCAGAGCGGAGTGGCCTGGTTATGGGGACTGTACCTCCCCAAGTCCCTGGTACCTACCCGGTTAAAGATGTTGTCAAAGCTGTGTGGGCTGGTTACATCAAAGCAGAGGAGCAGGACACTGGCATCAGGGTAGAACAGGGGCCGCAGGCGGTCATAGTCAACTTGTCCTGCGGAGAGTGGGGGTGGTCACTCCCTCCAGATCTCCCCCAACATCAGGGAGGTCATCCCACCAGACAGGGGCGTCTGGATCAGGGCCTGGTTGTGTGCCTCAAGGTCTTAGCAGATTCAGTGCTTAGCTGGTCATTCCACGTGAATGTCTCCCTCGGGGCAGTGTTCCCCTGGCTTGCCCGTGGGATGTGCCAGCCCTGGCCTGGGTGACACCACTTGCTGAGAGAGCCCTGTTCTGGAAGGAGCGGAGGGGAGGGCGGAAGCCCAGTCTGCAGGGACTGAGCCCATCCCGCAGAAGCCTGCTTTGCCCCGGGCATGGGGCTGAGGACTAAGAAGCGGTAGGACCCTGGGGAAAGGCACCTTGGCGCATGCATGACGGTAAGGGGGCTGCTGGGCCTCCCTGGGGTTAGCGGTCAGCTCTGGCATGGATGTGACCGAACCCTCATGTAGGCGAAGTCAGGAAGCTGGAGGGCAGAGGTCAAAGTCAGGCAGTTCTTACGGAAGCTAAAGCCAAGGTGGAATGCTTAGGAGGCCAGGAACAGTTCACCCCTTGAGAGGAAGGCGCTCTGGAATCCCCCTTGTCTGCAGGATGCACTTGGCTACCCTGGGCTGGGGGAGGCAGCAGACACAGGCACAGAGGCAAAGTGGGTTCGGGTTCCTGGGGACCCTAACCCTGGCCAACACCTGTCCCTTGGTGATTGGTTGGCCTCCCTGGTTCAGAAGGAAAGGAGTAGGGCTTGGCTTCTGGGCATGTGAGGCTCCCCTCCCGCCCTCGCAGCCCTGCATACCCACCTGCTGTGTCCCAGATTTGGAGGTTCAGGGGTTTGCCCTTCATTTGCAGATTAACGGTGACCCGCTCAAACACAGTGGGGGTGTAGCTCTGAGGAAGAAGGGGACAAGATGCAGGCTGTGAGGACAGCTTCTGAAGCAGGGTGGCCCGCACTGCCCAGGCCAGAGAGAGCCCACGAATGCCTGCAGCACAGCTCCGGTTTGGGAGTCTGACGGTGTGAGGGAGACAGTCTCCGGGAAGCAGGCTGTGGCCAGCAGGGTTGAGGCCTCGAGCTGCCGCTTCCTCCTATTTGCCCCAGCAAGGCCCTGAACCTCCCCGGCCTTCTTGACGGTAAAGTGGGAATATTAAAAGCACCGAATGCAGGGTGCTGCTGTAAGGATTCAGTGAGAGGCTCTGTGCAGAGCCTGGCACAAAATAAGCACTCTACACATGCCAGCCACTGTTATTTTTATCTTTGTCCCCCTGGATGGGGGACTGTCCCATTTCTGAGTCTTCCTTCATTCTGTCCCCTCCTCCTAGAATGACATTAACCTACATCTGTTCGTTCGTTCATTCATTCATTCGTTCGTTCACACATTCATTCAGTAAACATCGGCACCTTCTCTGGCTCTGGATATTGGGGAACAAGTAATAAACAAGGCTCACTGTGTGCCCTGGGGAGCTTTGCAGCTTTTGGGGGGGAGGGTCCCTGCTTTGTCTCTCAACCTCTCAGGCCCCTGCCCCATGCCACGTCCCCCAGGATGCCTTTCTGGAACCCTTCCCACACCCTCTCTATTTCTGCCTTTCTTATTTGCCCTGCGGGCATCAGGAGGAAGTCACCCAGACCACATGCCCTTCCTGCCCAGGCTGAGAGCCTGACTGCATTCCTTCTCCGTAAAGGCTGGGTGAATGGAAACAGGGTGGGTTTTGCGCACAAGACGCAGAAATGAGAAGGGGGAGCTTCTACGGATGGGGTCTGAGCAACAGGTGAGGAGGTTTTCAAAACTCTACCACAACACAAGCCCTTGGCTGGAGCGGGAAGCTAGACCAGCTACGTCTTGGGTCCCCAAGCCTCACCCGCTTGCTCAGGGTTGGCTGGCGGGATCACAGCATAGGGAGACCCTGTCCTCCCCCCTTCCAATGCCAGGTGGGGCCCCCAGCTGCCTGTGACTCAGGAGGACTTCAAGCCTGCCTGCCTGCCTGCCCGCTGGCATTCTGAGTCAGGCCCTGGCTGCGTGGAGGGGCGGCCCCTTAGTGGTGGGTCAGTGCGGTCCTCCAGGCCACGTGGGAAGGTACAGGGGGAGGATGGAGAAAGGTGAGTCCCAAAGTGGGCAGATGGGGAAGTCGAGGCTGACCCTGGGATAGAGGTTCAATCCGCCCTGGACCCTAGCCACCTGTCACTCTCTCTACTAGTGGGTACAGACGAGGGCTCCACCCACCTCCCCAGCACCCCCCTGCCCTGGCCCCCTCCCCTCAGGCCCTTTGTCTGGTGGGAGGCAGCGTGACTTGGTGGCTAGGAGCACTGGCTTTGGAATCAGATGTTCCCGCTTTAGGACTGGCTCTGGCCCTCACCAGCTGTGTGACTTTGGGCCCGTCCCCTCTCTGGTTAAAGAAGAGTCTCCCTTTTTAGTGTAGGGGAGACCGACTGGCAGGCAAGGCCCAGCATCAATGCCCACTACTTAGAAAGCTGGTCGCCAGGGGCAATGTCCGCGCCAGCTGCCATCCATCCATCCCTCCAGGGGATGCGCCCTTCCCCTGCCTATCACCGTGGAGGGCACTGACACCTGCTTCCACTCACCCACTCACCTGTGGCAGGACCCCTCCTGATGTGACGCGGAGGGCAACCTGCCACAAAGCTCTTGGGAGACACGTGTCAGTACCTCGCAAATGCCTGTGGAGATGACAGCGTCGTGCACATTTTCTAGGCATCGACCATGCGTGGCCCTCCATGCGTACTGTCCCTGACCCTTGCATCCTTGGGAAGTGGGCACTATTCCCATTTTCCTGACGAGGACAGAGGAGGGAAGTGAATTGCCCGAGGTAACATACTAGACAGCCGGCTAAGGATGGAGTCAGGTCTTTCTGGCTCCAGAGGTCAGGCTCTGTCCCCGGTCATGTGCCTTTTCCTGAGGTCACCGACTCTCTGGCCCCTGGTGCCAGGAGTGGGTAGGAAAGTCCCATTCCAGGCTTCGTGGCTGGGTTGCTCCCGGGGCTTGGAACTGTCACAACCCTCCCCCCTACTCTGCAATGTCATCCTGGAGACTTTTACACCTTCTGTTGTGTTCTTTGAACCACCAGGCAGGGTCACTCTGACCATTAAGTGCCTAATCTTATCTGTTAAGCTGTCCTCAGCCAGGATGGCAGGGTGAGGCCTGAGCTAGACTAGGGCGGAGATGACTCAGGCTTGGATCTGTCCTCATGGGGCTCACAGACAGACAGATGGGTCATTATAGGACAGGAGAACGTAGGTCAAGAAGAGAGTCAGGGGTTTCACACCCATGAGAGTCCCTGTGCAGACCAGGAGGGGCTCAGCTGGTTCTGGAAGGTAGGGCTGGTGCTCTCTGCCCCCTCCCCTCCCCACTCCTCCATGGGACCCCTGGGCTTTGGAATGGTTGCTGAGCCAAATGTCAGCCAGGACTGGGCAGAGGCTGGTGCCCAGCCTGGACTGCCTCTGCCTCAGGAGCTCTCTCTACTCTGTTCCCCTGCCCCAAGGCTGGGCCACAGACAGACAAGAGTCACTGAGGCCCCTTTAAATCCCAGCCTACTCTCTGTTCTTTGGGGGCCTCCAAGTCTTCTAGCTGCTGGCTCCCATAGCTTGGAGGGCTGCCAGGAGGAGGAGTTTAGGGGCAGGAGCAGAAGGCTGGTCTGGCAGGCAGAGCACCGGGGGCTACGAAGAGTATTCTGGTCAGGGGCGGGGAGAACTGGGCTCCTGACCTGCACTGCCACCACTGGGCTCCCTAAGGCAAGACTGTCGCTGTGGCTTCACTTTTCCCACCTGTAACATGAGGCCTTTCCAGCACTTGGACCTTGTAGTTCTCTTAAAAGGAAAGGTCTTTCTTGGGCCTGGAGACAGAGGGGTCCCTAAACAGATGAGGACAGGTCAGGTCCATCCCCCTGGTGACAAGCATGTCCTCCCTTCTCCTGGCCAGCTGCAGCCTATCCTTCAAAACACACATTCCATCAACTTCCAGACGACCATTTCCACGCCGCCACCTCTCTGGAATCAGGATGAGCCTTGCCATCAGGGATGTCTCAGAGCCCAAGATACTCCTCCTAGCTGGTCTCCTGGACCCTGGCTGGCCTGGTCCCTCTGCAGGCACTCTCCCCACCGTGTCGTAATTGTTGGGTTCCCATGCGCAGCATGTGGGGGCCCAGAAACTTGTCCAACCCAACTTAAAAATGTGACTGGCCAGCGGAGGTGACGTCAGCTCCATAAACCACAAAGCAAAAGTTGGCTCGATGCTGCCACAGTGGAAAGGAAGGTCTGACACTTTTACCAGGCCTGGCCTCTCCTGCCTCCCCCCGTCGGACTCCCAGGGCTTGAGCAAACCCAGGGGTTTGGAGGATGCTGGGACAGGCAGGAGGGAGAAGAAATGCTGGAAGCAAACCCCCGGACTCCCAGGAGAACTGGGCTGAGAGGTGGCACAGTGAGTGGGTCCAGCCCCTGTCCTGGTGCCTGTGAGTCCGCGTAGACAGTCAATGAGCATGCTAGTGAAGGACTGAGGGCCCACGTGCCCAGAGCGTCCAGGATGTGCCAGGTCCACAGGGGCTGTCTCTCAGCCTTACCTTAATTCTGCCTCACCACCACTCTTAAGTCTCCTGCCCTATGAGATTGTGTGAGGAAACAGAGGCTCAGAGAGGCTAAGCAAGTTACTGAGGGCCACACAGTTTGTTAGAAGACAGCTGAGGTGCCAAACAAGCTGCCCGACCTGAGTCTGGTATGCTTTGGCCCTCCAAGACAGAGCCCACGACACGTCCGTTGTACAGGCAAGAGCTGGTGGAGAAGAGATGACATCTGCCAACTATCGGTGAGTCTTTCCTGTCGCCGGCTCAGAGGTGAGCCCTTAACCCGTACTAACTCACCCTTCACAGTGACCCTGGAAGGTGGGCACCATCCTTATTCCTCTGATGCGGTTAAAACAGGCACAGAGAGGTAGGGGACTAGCCCAAGGGTGCACAGCTTTAGGTGGCAAAGTCGTAATTCGAACCCAGGCAAGGGTGGCTCCAGTGTCCTCAGTCCCTCCGAGCCATGCCGCGCCACCAAGTGCTCTCTTAGGATCTGCCGGGTACCCAGCTGGCCCAAGTCCGTCCCACGACACCTCTCCCAGGTACGTGCCATTCTTGCCACTTTGCAGATGATACCACCGAGGCCCTCGCTGC